TCTTACATTTTCTAATTCTAATTTGATGTTTAATCCCACTCTATTCTTTAATCCTATTAAATCCTATTCTTTGCTGCAAATTCATTCTTCCATCCAAAAATAATTTTGTCAACAAATTTTCCCAAATGCAAGAATATCCTTTGTGTGTTTTCAAAATTTTAAGATATATCTTTAGACAAAATTTATGTTTGCAACACGTGTTAGTGAATTTCATGATTTCTTTTGTTATTATATTGGTATTTGCATATACGAGGAGTTTATCGAGAAAGATTATCCGAAACATCCCGAGGAAGTAATCATTATTACTGATAAGGCTAGAAATAATACGCTCAGTAATGGTATGTAGTTTATTTTCTTTTTTTCTCATAAATAACTAAATTATTTCGAGAAAAGTTTTTAGGATATTTGAATAATTAACCATGTCGTCCTCATTTATTTAATAAATGCGCAAATTTTAATCGAATTTTATTTTGTAATTCTTTTCTGTTAATGATGCATTTATGAAATTTAATTATTGTTTGAGGTAATTATCTTTTCTTAGTTTATTTCTTTGTTTTGGAGGATATTTCTTTCAAAATAATTTTCTGAAATATACTGCATAAAAATATTAAAATTTAACTTTGATCAATTTGAAATCATTTCAAATCCTCAAATGTATGTCTTTCAGCTAATTTTTCTGCAGAGATTCATTCCGTCTTAAAGATTTATTAATTACGTTTTTATTTTTTTTTAGATAAAACACTGAATTATAAAAGAAATTTACAAGATTGATTTCTGAAAACAGTGAAAAAATTTATTTTCAGTGGATTTTACCAGTATCGATTTATTCAAGCAGACATTCGAGACGCAAGAAACAAATAACTTTGCAATTTGCAAATTTCAATATATCTATTATTCCTTATTAATTTGTTCACTTGCTCTTGCAAAATTATCAATTACTTAATTACTAAGAAATTCAGGAAATTTAAGAAATTTATACGGTGCATGCTCAATAAATCGTTTTCAGATGGCAAAGTATTGAAAAAGCTAAGACGAACATTGAATTTTTCTTTTTTTTTTTGAAACATAACTACTTCAGGATTGAAAAAAAAATAAAATCTTTTTCAAATAAATTAATGAGTGCAAGAAACGAATGGCTTGATGCCATGTATGCCATATTATCATTTATTCGTTTTGTAGCAAAGATCAATTGCTGCATGCTTCATTTCACTATCAGCAAAAGATAATTTTTCAACGTTTTTGTAAAATTTAATATGAAGTCCCAGTCCTCATACGCTTTCACGTACGCTTTGGTCTTTTTCTTTTTAACCATGTCGTATACAATTTATAATATTTTGATGTAAAAAAAAAAAATTCCTCACATCTGAAATGTGATGAAATGTTGGCTTCATATTTCTTTCGATTCAGCTAGCAAAAATATTGAATAAAACTTAAAAAGACTTATTATGCTTAATTTTTTAATCTTTCTTAATCCTTCTTAATCTTTCTTAGCTTTCTTTATTCCTTTCATGACTGATTTTTTTACACTAAATCATCATCACTAATCGATTGAGCATAGTATTCATCTTTTATTTTAGTCTTTGAATTGATCTCATAATCATGTATTTTGATCTCCGAAGTGATCTCATAATTATGTACTTTGATCTCCGAAGTGATCTCACGATCATGTACTTCGATCTAGGAAGTGATCTTACGATCATTGTATTTGGTCGCTGGATTGATCTTACGATAATTGTATTTTGATCGCTGAATTGTTCTCACGATTATTGTATTTTGGTCTCTGAATTGATGATCACTTTTCCCACCTCATGATCATTGTGTGATCAAAAATGTGACCACAAACTTTTGTTCTTTAAACCGAAATGATTTTCTGATTTTTTCAGCTAGTCAGAAAGATTGTTGCATAAAAAAGAACGATACTTCTAGAAAGCTAAGTTGAGATTGAACATTTAACTCAAACAACATAATTATTTTTTACATTTTACATTTCCTTTGAAAGGAATAACTGTTTTCATTCAAAAAAAAAAAACTATTCATCAATACTACTGTCCATCGTATCGTATTCATTTGGATATGGTGGATCATTCTCATCGATTAGCGTATAATCATTTGGTAAGTCCACAACCGTTAAAGTAAGCGGCTTATCAAACTTAATTACAATCTGAAAAATGACGTGCAGCAAAATTTTAATTTGACAACAAAAAAATGGAATGAAATTTGAGCCTTTTTTTTTGTCATTCAAATTAAAAGATAAAATTAAACTATGGAAAAAAATTTAATTAACTTTATTGTTAGAGTTGAATTCCCCTTCTCTATTAAAACCAGCATAGACATCATTAAAAGTATACCATCAATTGTTCTAACTCATCTAATCTTCTTTTAGATTTCTATAATTCGTTTGAATTTTTCAATGATTAAACTTTTAAAATTAAGTAACAAATTTTTGAGCAAACATTTACATTTTTATAGCAATTAGCTGAAAATAATTCGATTGCTTTGATGCAAGCCCAAAACCATGAAACATATTTGCAAATTTTCCATTCAAGCGGAAAGGGTGCACCCAAATTGCGCAATATTTCATTCGTACCATTCCAATTATAATCAATAATAGTTAATGCTAAAAAGTAAAATTGAAAAGAAAGATTTTTGAGCGCTTATGTTTGTTAATAGTTATCGATGATATAATACAACTTTGAAATTAAATTTATTTTTTTAACGCGATCCTTAAAAATAGAACTAATGCCAATTGCACGGCTTTAATTATTTCATTCGAAATTGACAAGAGTAACAAAAATAAAAGTATCGAGTGTGTTTTAAAAAAAAAAAAAAAACTTACGAATGGAAATGATGAGCCAACAAATAAGTCCACACAAAACTTTAATTCCTATCGATGATGATTCATCTTTGTCTGATATAAGTTCAGTGATTTGTGTCAACAGTAAAAATACAGTTATTGTTGCACCGGCTATTGGTATTAACAAATGTGCTACAATTTTTCAGCTTTAATAATGTATATTTGTAAATATTTGAAATTAAAAGAGATTTAAGTACTTGCAAATTTTTAAAAAGTAAAGTATATCGTAGCGAAGCGCTTTTACTGTATCAAATTGCATGCGATTATTCGCATAATCAACAATATCAATTGATAATTTTCGTGCTGTACGAATTGAAGAAATAAGTCAACCATTAATTATTGAGGATAATTAATTAACCATTTCTTTTATTAAATTAATCATTTAATCTATACCGGATCCAAGATGACTATTTGCAATGCCGAATCGTTCACGTAATCCGAGTAATGCACAAATGCTGTTAACACTATGCCTCTGATAATAGTATTCATTCCTGAAATATTACGCCTCTAATTTTTTAAAAAAAATAAAATGTTTTTAAAACTGAGAAAATTATCAAAGATTTATATCAGTTAGAAATTTTTAATATTTACATTGCAAAATAACATACATAAGCAACTTTGTTAATTTATTTAACTATTTTCCCTTCAAATATATGAAGAAAAAAATGATCAAGAATAACTGAATATTTAGCCAGGTGATGTTTTTTTCTGTAAGATCATCAAACTGCTGTAAAATCTCGACGACTGTATCATTTTTCATCAATTTCAAATTTTTCTGGAAATCATTCAGCATGACTGCTAGACATTTCAATGACAAATCAAAATAATTATCAAGGATTTATATCACGTCAGATGGAGCATCGATTACACATTGAATGTTTGTTTTGAAATTGTTTCAATTTAATTTTTAATATGTAAACTCTTCCTTCTGAATTTTCCAATCCATGAAATATGTGTGAGAATTTTATTAAACAGTAAACAGATATTATTAATTTAACGGTTCTCTTTTTTTTAATTTTTACGATAAATAATCAAATTTTTCCGCTTTTTTGAAATTATAAAGAATTTTTTTCGTTAAACTACAAAAAAATGAATGAATGAAAAAATTGTCAAATATAAGCAACGTGAAACAAACGTGTAATTCTAGCGCACATTGTTCATCGCTAATGTAAGCTTCCTCTAATTCAGTATCTGTTAATTCTCGGCAAATATATACTGGCCAAATCAGTAATGCTAACATAATAATCGTTGCTGCACACAATTCAAATATATGTGGCACAAATAGAACGTGCATTTCGTCACTTCCTAAAAATTTTCAAATAACTCTGTTTTTTTTTCTGAAAGATTGATTACTTTTTATTAATTAAGCGTAAGTATCTTTTATTGTTTTTGTGAACATCCGTGACAATACCGCCTGTTAATTAGCTATATGTAAGATTATATTTTATTAGTTGCATTTATCATCATTGCAATATTCATGCAATAATATTGTTTTTTTAATAAAGAAATTATTGAGAAAAAATGTTGGAAGATTCAATTTAAAATTGACAATCTTTTCCAAAAAAAAAGGAAAACATTTATAAAGTTACTAATATCATTGATATAGAACTTATAAATTGCTTTCTACTTTCTAGTTTTACAATAATT